TGATTTTGGGGTGCTTCACCGCAACGAACTGTCAGGGACCCTCAATGGTCTGACGCGAGTCCGACGCTTCCAACAAGATGACGCTCACCTCTTCTGCACGATGGAGCAGGTAGGACGCCTCACCTGGGCTCGCTGCAGTTCAAGGGACCCAGGAAGGGAGGTTGGTTTCTAGGAAAACGCTAGCACAGAGGCCCCCAAACTTGGCAACTTTTAAGACTTCAACTCCCAAAATTCTCCAGCCAATTGGCCAAGTTTGGACACCCCTGTAGGCCACTCTGAGGTCCCTGAGACCAAACAGGTGGAATAACAAGGGTTCAAAGGGACCTCTGGTGGTCTTCTATCCGACCCCTTGCTCAAGCAGGAAACCCTATAGCAGGGGTCTCCAAACTTGGCAAACTTTAAGACTTGTGGACTTCTGGGCGTTGAAGACCACAAGTCTTGAGAGTTGCCAAGTTTGGAGACCTCTGCGTGACTAGCTCCTTTCACCTTTGAAGTTCCTGCTGACGGACCTCTTGGCTTACAGATCGAGGAGGAGATGAAAGGATGTCTCCATTTCCTGCGGTCTGTGTATGCCGGTTTTGGTTTCACCTTCCAACTCCATCTTTCCACGAGACCCAACAACTTCCTAGGGGAGAAAGAGATCTGGGATCAGGCGGAGAAGGTGAGGCGTGCAGGCAGGGGTGGGATTCACTGCCCAGGTGCTGGGTGGGCGTGGCCATGGTAGGCTTCCCTCAGGCCTCTTGGAGAGCCAAAATGGCCACCTCCAGGCTTTGGAGGCCCACCGGAAGCCAGAATCAGGCCCGTTTCTGGACTTCCGGTACTTCTGGAAGGCCTGTTTTTCCCCCTTCCAGAGCCTCCGCACAGACCTTCCCCTTCCCTGCATTGAAAATGGGCCACCTAGAGACTATTGGGAGGGGAGGGTGGACCCGGCCAGCCAGTCAGTTCAATTGCTGGTTTGGCGAACCAGATGCAAATTTAACACCCGGTTCGCTCGAACCACTCCAAACCGTTAGTATCCCACCCCTGGGGGCAGGGTGCGTAGAGCGGAGCAAACCACGGGGGGGACTTTGACCTCCGTTCTTCTTTCCAACTTCAGCAACTCCAGAACAGCTTGGATGATTTTGGGGAGCCTTGGAAGCTCAATCCAGGTGACGGGGCGTTTTACGGGCCCAAGGTTAGTGAGCCGTTCCGGATTCTTCACTGAAACTTTAGCGGTGAATGCCAACTCCATTCTGCACAGGTAGTCCTCAATTTGTGGCCAGCACAGGGATCCTGTGACGGTTGTAATTGTGAGGAGTGTAGTGTGAGTCCCGCTTATGACTATAATTCTATTCTCAATTCTATGCTACTCTTACTCAACTCGATTCCTATTCCATTCTAATTCCATTCCTATGTTTATTTCTATTCCTACTCCCATTCCGTTCTATTGTTAAGCGAGCATTTCCCAGGTCAGGAGCTACCTGTAATCTTAATTCTTTGCAGATCGATATTACAATCAAAGACGCTATTGGCCGGTACCACCAGTGTGCTACAATCCAGCTTGACTTCCAGTTACCTGTCCGGTTTAATTTGACTTACGTTGGGTGAGTGTCAACGGCCCAAGGCTGGAGCCCTTCTCAGGGAAGAGCTGAGTAATTGGAGAAATTTTGGAGGGGTCTGTAGAAAAGGCTGAGATCAAAGAGAGGCTAAAACAGGAAGGAATGGAGAGGTGACGGAGCAAAGACGGTAGCAACCAGGTGAAGGAGGAATCAAACCAGTTCGGACGCTCGATCTGTACTTATTTAGGTAGTTCCTGAATGTCCTTCAACGGGGTTGCTACAAGGATTAGAGAAACATTTTATATTTGAGAATTGAGCCTGGAGACACTGAGGGTCGCTGGTGCTCTCTTTTTTTAATTAAAAGTTTTTTATTTTAACAACAAAAAAAACCACATAAAACATACAACATAAAACATAAAAACATCGTCCTTCTTCATAAATTTACAAGCAATGTATCAGTCGGTTTACCACTTTTTTTTTGTGCATCCATTTCCTAAACGCTAATATAATTATATTACATGATAACTCATATTATCAATCAACAATTGTATAACCTAGTATCATTACTGAGACATCATTTAACTATAATTTTATCAATTCATACTTTAACGAGATAACTATAATTTACTTAATTTATTTTGCAACGAATCATACCAAATCTATCTTAATAAAGTTTTATAAAAATAATATCAAAAAAAATTATATCCTAAATCTAAATATTCTATTATTGTGTTTTATTATCTAACCATTGATAAAAAAAGATCCCAAACTTCATAACATTGTTTATCTTCTTGTTCTCTAATTTCAAATGTCAATTTACTCATTTCAGCACAATCCAATATTTTCTTGATAATTCCTTCCTCTGATGGAATAGGGTCCCTGGTGCTCTCTTGAGCTTGGTTTTCTTGCAGACATTTCATTACCCAGCTAGGGCACGTCATCCGTGCCAGCTGAAAGACTGGAGGAAGGAATTTCGCATTGGGTAAATAGGAAGGAGGATAGGAGCAGCAAAAACTTCCAATGCTTAAATAGACATTTGATGACAACTTTCTTGAGGCAAGGAATAACCAGAACCTCAGCCTTGTTTGCATGACAGAAAACGATTAAACCCGCATGAAAAGGGCAGCAAAAACGAAGTTGAAACGTTTTCCTTTGTCTTGCTTTTCAGCAAAGACGGCAACGACAAGACGAGGCCCGTCATCATCCACCGAGCAATTCTGGGCTCCGTGGAGAGGATGATGGCTATCCTGGCAGAGAACTGCAGTGGGAAATGGTGGGCAGCTGATCATCCTGGAAGGAGAAAAAGGTTGCTTTGTAGGTTGTCGGAGTGGCGTTTAAAAACGGTTAATCTCGGCCCGTTCCTTTTCTCCTTCCAGGCCTTTTTGGCTCTCCCCTCGGCAAGTCATGGTGGTCCCCGTTGGCCCTACCTGTGAAGAATATGCCCAGCAGGTAAGAGTGGAGATTATCCATAGAAAGGAAGAACGGGGAAGAAGGAATGGGTGGATTTGTAGATGGCTGCAAGCGGGGAAACGCCCCATCGCGATGCCTCAAAACGTAGTTGTGAACATTTCAATTGTGGCTACACCAACACTGGAGGTTTTTAAGAAGAGATTGGGCAACCATTTGTATGAAATGGTATAGGGTTAGACTAGAGGACCACCAGGGTCCCTTCCAACTCCCTTGTTCTGCTGCTTTTTAAATCTCTATTTTGTACCCTTGTTCTGCAAAGCCGTTGGGCTATAGAAACGGTCTTTCTCCACATTTAGGTCTGCAAGGAGGCCTCTGAAGCTGGACTTATGGCTGATGTTGATTTGGATCAGAGCTCCACGTTGAATAAGAAGATAAGAAATGCACAGCTGGCTCAGTATAATTTCATTTTTGGTATCTATGCTATGTATTTCTAAAATTAATCTGGCTCGCCCATGTCCCGGGTCTGCTGATCGAGCGTGGGAGAATTGTTAAGTCATTGGAGGGGTTGGGAATAACCTTATAGGGTTAGGAGAAGTTATGAGAACAAATATTACTCCCGCTATGTAAGTTTAGTTTAGTTTATTGTCATTGCACCTCGTACAGTGAAATTAAATACCATCTTCAGTCTACATTACGACTATGAAAATAAACACAAACACACATCCTTCACGTTCTATACACTGAATTGAAAACCCCTGATATTGCATTAATATTGCACTATACGGTAGAATTCAACTGCCCTGGGATAGAAGTTGTTTTTTCAGGCTGTTTGTCCTTGTTTTTATTGTCCTGTACCGGCTGCCAGATGGTAATAGTTGGAAAAAAAAAGGGTTCCCAGGATGAGATGGATCTTTAAGGATGTTTTGAACTTTCTTAAGGCAGCAGGAGCTCTAAAACTCTTCCAAAGTGGGGAAGAGGGCAACCCATGATCCTCTGGGCAATGACCTTAACCCTCTGGAGTGCCATCCTATCTGCCTGCCACTGTGCAAATTGGCAAACCAGACACAGGTGCAGTAAGTTAAGATGCTCTCTAAGAGCCTCTTTGCCATGTTATAGAAAAAGGAAATGCCATTAATATTTCTTGTAACCATATAGATAGTTCTTCGCTTGAGCTGGGACTTATGAACTTAAGTTATGTCAGTCGTTAAGCAATCATCACAGGACCAGCCTAATTTTATAACTTTTTGGGCAGTGGTACGAAAGCAAATAATAGTTGCTAAGCAAACCCTTAAAAAAAATAAAAAAAATAAAGGCTGGTTTCCAGCAAAAAATACCATAAATTTTGGTCCTGCGGCTGCAGGCCACTACAAATACCCCCAAATAATGCCCAGTTGCCTAGTGACCAAACGGGGTGAAAAAACTGGGTCACACCATTCTTGAAGCCTGTAATTTCAGCCATTAAAGGGACCAGTCCTTAAGTCAAGGACTTATCCATAAATCGGACCTCTAAATTTAAATGTGTATGACTTAAAATTTCCTTAAAGGACAGTTCTGTGAAATAACTAGTGAGATTCTTTTAAATGCTAACTCGGTGCTATCCGGGTTTCTAAACAAATTTGCCTTCCTTTGAGGCACAGTTGGCCTAACCTTGTTTCCTTGCAGTGGTTGGAGAGAAGGAAAAAGCAGGCCACGCCATCAATGTACGAACCCGGGATAACAAAATTCACGGAGAAATTTCGGTCCCTTCGGCGCTGGAGAAACTACGGAAGCTGAAAGCCTCTCGTACTTTACACGCAGAAGAAGAATTCTAACAAGAGACCGAAGGAAACTTGGCCACGTCCTGAGTGGTTGTGGTTTACTTGGAGCTAAGTCTCATTCAGTTGGGGCGAGCCTTAACTTTCTGGGAACCTGGGTGGATTTGCAACCTTGGATTACTTGCCGTTATCCAGGGTTGCAACGTTTCCAGACCTGCCGGTTCTCTTGAAACACAGTGCAAAATTGAAACCACTTTTAAATTATTTTGGCTGTTTGCATGCATGTTTTTTTTTTTAAAAAAGAAAAAGAGTTCCAAAGAAAACGGCTTGGGTCTCATAGAGCAAGGGGTCTCCAAACCTTATTAATTCAACTCCCAGCGTGGTTGGCTGGGGAATTCTGGGAGTCGAAGTCCCCAAGTCTTAAAAGTGGCTAAATTTGGAGACCCGCGTCATATAGCGTTAAGAGATTCCTTTTGTGGATATTTATTGATAAGTGTGGGTTGCTGCTATTGATTGGCATCAAGCAGAATGCCTTCTCTTCCCATGAACAGAAATGCGTAGCCTTTGAGCCGCTACCTTTTATAGGCGACGTAAAACCACGTTAGTTTTTCTGAGGAGATATGACAAGTAGTCATAAGGTCTTAAACTGAAAGGCAGAGGAGGGAGTAAGCATCAGGCTAGAATCCAGGAGGCGGCAAGTTCTAATCCTGCCTTAGACATGGAGCTAGGAGGGTGACTTAGAGCCAGCCCCTTCCTCTCAGCCCGAGGAAGGCAGCAAGGGCAAACCCTTCCTGAAAATCTTGCCAAGAAAGTGGCTGGGTCTTTGTACTGGCATTTGCCCGGAGTCAACACTGACTTGAAGGCACCATCAATCCAGAGACGGGGAAGGCTGTCCTCTTTCCCTCAAGTTCAAATTGTCGCTAGAAGGAACCCTTGCGAAGTTGTTGCAAGATAGGCAAACTTCCATGTTCATGCCTTATTATTTGGGGAGGGGGTGTTTTCTGTGATGAAAGCGTCCTGTCAAAATGCGTTTATCTATTTTGCCGCCGTCCTGGTGTAGTACACGTACATTTGCATTGGAGAACTTGCAAATACGTTCCTGATAATATCTTACTTACAACTTTGCTTTCTTGGGGAGGGCGGGCGGAAAAAAAAAAAGGCGGATTTGTGTCTTCCTGGGTTGGCTATCTCACTGGACAGTTTCTCAGAAAGCCGCAGAAGACTCTCTGAAGCGAGAGCTTTTAAATTGAGGGATAGCATCACGCAGAGTGCTTTGCTTCTTTGGCCAAATAAAACTAGAATGTTCCATCTTCATCCTGTCTCAACCAGCCTCTTTCTTTGGGGAGTTACAACTTATCGTGCTACACATTCGCATCGTATTTCGATAAAAAAAAACCCCACATGAGATAAAAATATAAATATTATAAATGTATGACCAGATAACATATATTATTTGCTTCATTTCTCACAGCCGGGAAATCAGCAAAGCCTCTTATCGTGGGCTCTGTTTTGGCATTCTGTCATTCTATGCTGGCGCTATGCTTTGGAATAATAAAATAATTTTAAATAGCCAACTCCATCCTTAACACCTGTAGGCATGATTATGAAATAACACCAATGCTTTTGTGCTAACCTAAATTTGTTAACTGTACCAAGGAAATAGCACTGTGAGCTTTTGTTTTTTCATTAAAAAAAAAATGGTGATCTCCAAAACAGAAAGAAATCTACATCAGCCAAGCATTCCACAAGTCATTTATTTCACCTTAAAATAAAGGCAGGCCGAGTACAGATACTGTACGTTAAAAAGGGGGCGTGCAAGCGGTTCCAGGTAGATCATTCCGGTCCGATCTGTGAATTTCTCAGGGTGATCCACCTGGTGGTTTGTCTCGCTGCTTAGATGTAGAGCGAACCGTCTGTGGGACCCACGTACCCAACGCCGATCAGCAACACATCTATCAGCGTCCAGATTCCCAGGCCGCCAAAACTGAAGAGTTTGCCCAGCCCCTCCCGCCACTGTCCCAGGTAGAATCGGTCTGCACCGAAGCCGCCGAGCGTGATGCTGAAAGACGACACGAGAAAGCGTTAGAAACTGCCTGGGGTCACCGATTTTTCCAGCAAAGAGAATAAACCGCATTGCAAAAAATGAGGACTGCGCAATTAATATAACTGTATTCTATAACACAATACACCGAACGAGAACGAATCCTGGCGGGTTAAAAATTGTGAGAAATTGTGTTTATTTAACATGTAGATTACAATTTCTTTTCAGCAACTTGAATTTTAAAGTTTTTTTTTAAAGCACTATTTATATATTATCCACAGGACCCGGAGGTTGGTGTTTCTTATCCTACCTTAAAGCCAAGGCTGTTGACCATTTGTAGCCTCCAGTCCAGTTGCAATAGAGCATCTTGGGAAAAGTACGATTTCCTTAAAAAAAAAAACATGTAAAAAGTGTGATTGCAAAGATGGATGCGGACAAGAAAAAACAAGGCACAGCTTTATCACTGTTACCACTGCAAAGCTGTCATCGCAAGAGCAGCGATACTGTACGCCCCGGTATTTGGGGCACCGAGAAATGAAAACACCAGCTGCAGTCTTTCAAAAAAAAAAACCAAGTTCATTATTTCAGACTACAAAAGAGTTTGCAAGACCGACTTTCAGGAAGAAGATTTTGGGTTACTCAAACTGTTGTGAGGTGCCTGGCTTACCTAGGCAATGGATGTGGTCTCTCACGGTGCAATTGGCCTTGTAGCGTTGTTGAGGGCACGAGACTGTCTTGCAGTTGGTAGGATTGGAGCAAAGGTAGTTTGAGAGTGGCAGCTGCCAGCAAAATTGGCAAGTCATGTTAATCAAGAAGGTCTTCCGGGTGTTATTTTGATCCTGCAAAGGAAGCAGCGAAGGTCACCTTTCTCCTGAGTGTCATATGTTAAGATCAGTGCTTCTCAGTTTCGTCCAGTTTAGACTTCAACTCCCAGAATTCCACAGGCAGCATGGCTGGCTGGGGAATTCTGGAAATGGAAGTCCACACAACTTTAAAGTTGCCAAGGTTGAAAAATATAGATTAAAAGCAAGCGTATGTTTTTGCTCACTTGGTGTTTCATCGCTTTAGCTGATCAACGAACACAATTCAGCCCTAATGGAAATCGAGGCTATTTAACGAAATCATTTCAATAATTATGTTTTTGCTAGCTGAGAATTCTGCAATTGTTCCAAGTAAACTGATCCCGTCTCTAACAAGGAAACACTGCTTCAAATCGGAATGATAAAGTAATTGTTCATTGTTCCATTTTTCTTGAATCGGCTAAGATAATTACTTATCCAAAGTAATCGCCACGGATTTTTATGTCTATTTATAAAGAAAGCTTTTTTTACTTACAATGCAATGGACTTGGGGTTTGGCTTCACATTCAAATGAAACCGATCTGCCATAGACACAGGAATAGTTTGTTTTGCAGGTCATGCATTCTGGAGGCAGCCGACTACAAATCCCATTACTGGGGCATCGGGTCACGTAAGCTGGAATTGAGGTACCCTCTGCAGAAATAAAATCCAGTTGTAAAAAAAAAAGGCTTCAGTATCTTCCCTAAAATATCATGTATGAAATTTCTTTGAGTCCTTGGAACTCCATTGTGATGATCCGGGCGTGGCACAAAGGCCAGGAAGAGTCCCTTTATTATCTCCAACTTTGCCCCCAGTGTCCAGGTTGTCTGGCTAGAGAAAAACTCTCCCAGGAACAGCCTTTAAGTGGAGGAAATTCAGTCCGAAAACGAAGTACATACAAACTGTAACTTAAAATCCACACAAACCAAGCTGCAGTAATTAACTGGACAGGGCAGGAAAAGGAATTGCAGACTTTAAAGGCCAACAAAACACACACAGTTGGGAAGACGCCAGGAACCCAGATAACTCTCGGCTATAAAAGATAACTCACAATTTGCTTCTCATGACTTGCTATGTGCAACCTCCCTTTTTAAACACTGTGTTCCCAGCAGCGGCTAATGAAGGGAATCAGGGCCCTTTCCTCCCCTGTAAGCCAGCACCCCACATTGCTCCCTTCTCCGTTCCCCCCTGTGTGGCTTAGGATGAAGAGGGGGTGGGCGTGGATCTTCCCCTGAATTCCCTCTCCCTTGCTCTACCTCTTCCCTGCTCTGCCCAGCCGGACTTTGCCCTTCCCCAGTTTCTTCCTCAGCCAACGGAGCCACACTCCCACTCCCCGTCAGCTGCTCAGCTTCCTCCGACAGGGGCATGACACCCATTAACCATTCTCTATGTTTCTATAGCTCTTATTCTAACAATTCTACAAATAGCTACTCATAGAACTACTCACTCTGAGAGGGATGGGTGGTTAAGAAATATGAAATATAGTTAACTGAAACAGCACAGTCCTGAATGTGTTTTTCTTGGAGGTCAGTTGCTTCCCTGGGGGGCGAAAAAACCTGGATGTGTCCCGCATCCCTGCAATGATGCTTTAAGCAAATTTTAGACATTTTTACAATGCCGTGACTTTCCTCCAGAGGAAAAGATGGATGGCTTTTCACCCGGGAAACGCAAGCGACCAACTCGTTTTAGCCGAGAAAAGCTGAGTGTGACTTTTCAAAATTAGAAGTAGCAAAATAAACGAGAGGAGAGAAAGCAGCAGGCGAGAGACGAAGCCGGAACGCTTCAGAAAGCAAAAACTCTTCCGAAACCAAGCGACGGGATTGTAAAGTGTGACCCACCTGGCACCTTGGATGCTGGGATGTGGGTGCTCGAAGGGAGCCCTGAGATCTTGGAGAGCGAAGCCTGTGAATGAGAATGCTCCAAGCTCAGCGACCCTGGAGAAGCACAGAGAGGACATGAGACACACGGACACTAAGCAGATCTCGGGGAGCAGGAGCGTCTTCGCCCTAGAATGGGCGATATAGGGTGAAATCCATTGGAAAAGGGTATCTATGACTCATCTTTCACTTCTGGATAGAATTGAGCCCAAATTTCTGTCGCTAAGCGAAACATTGGTTAAGGGAGCTTTGCCTTATTTTATGACCTTCCCTGCCAGAGTTGTTAAGCGAATCGTTGCCATTGTTAAGTCAGTAGAACGGTGGTTCAGTGAAATCTGGGTTGACTTTGCTGTTCAGAAGGTTGCAAAAGGGGGATCAACACAACCCCGGGACAGTACAAGCGTCATAAATACGAGTCAATTGCCAAGCGTCTGAATTTTGGTCACGTGGGGATGCTTGCAACGGTTGTTAAGTGTGCAAAACAACCCACGAGTGTGGGGAGACCTTCAAGAAGAGGCTGGACTCCCACCCGTCAGAAACGGTGTAGGGTCTCCTGCTTGGGCAGGGGGTTGGACTAGATGACCTACAAGGTCCCTTCTGGGAAACCTGACCACCTGCCTTCATAGGTTTATAGCTTCAGGGTCCTCTGCTTGCACAGAACTCGTCCCGAACAGCAGGAGAGGCAGCATTGCTGTCCTTGGTCCTGTATTTTTTTTTTCATCTTTATTTACATTTATTCCATGTTTTCAGCCCTTTCTGCACCACCCTTCATCGGTCTCCTTGAACCCAGGACCTTTTTCCAAACGGGGACACCCAAAGGCTGGGGAAGAATCGCCCCTCCTCCCCTTCCTCCAGAGGAGACCCCCCCTCCCCCTTGGGGGCTCCGACAGCCCCCTCCCCCATTGGCAGAAGCCCACCTACCCAATTAGAAGCAACCGGGGAGGGCCAATGCTTCCTTGAGCATGTGCAGAGCGCGCTCCCCACCCCCATGTGAAGAGCCCCCCCGCCCATATACCCCAGAAGGGGCTCCTGGGACCCTCAAGCCCCCCCACCCTACCCCACCCAAGCAGGAGCCTGCCCCGATTAGCCTAATTAATGAACGGGGCTTTTCATGAAGGCGGAGGGAGAAGCCGGCGGCCGCTTCGCCCCTCCGAGCCTCCCCCCTCGCCGCATTCCTCACCCCGGCCAGAGTGGACGTAGAGCTGCGAGAGGAAAACGGCCACGCAACAGAGCCGCTTCAGCGACCGCAGCGCAGCCAGCCCCGCCGCCGCCATCTTGCCCTCATCCGGGGACTCCGCCCGGCTCCGCCCCCTGCCTCCCCCTCTCTCTCCCCGGAAACGGGCGAGGAGGAGGAGGAGGAGGAGCCTTGAGCCTTGCGCCTGCGCGGCGAGAGAAAGGATAAAACGCTCTCCTGGGCTGTTGGGCGTTCCTTTCCCTAAGTCTTCGGCGGTCGCTCTCGGTCGCCCCCGCGAGGGCCGGAGGGGCATCGACGCGCTGGGGGTATATGGGCAGAAGGCGGATCAGTCGAGTCTGAGCTGCGACGGCGGGACAAGCCAACTTGGTTAATGCAACCTAGTTTGGGGTGGGGTGTTTTTTTTTTGTTTTTTTTTTGGCACCTCGTGCAAAAATGCAATCCAACCTGGTCTGCAAATCTCCAGTCTGGTTTGCAGAAATCCAACCTGGTTTGGGAGTTTTGCACTTTGTGCAAAAAGTAAAATAAGAAATAAACCTGGTTTGAACGTTTTGCAAAAATGCCACCTGGTTTGGGAGTCCCCCCCCCCACTTTGTTTTGCATACGCTTCAATGCCTCGCGAAAAGGGGGTTACGGGGATTCCCCGAGTAGGCGAGGCGCAGGGGTCGTGTGAACCCAGCAGCCACAATCCCCAGCCTTGCCCCGTTGCCCGCCGAGGCTTCTTTGCTCGCGGGGGAGGGGGCGTCCTTTCACCCTCCAGCGGCATTGCACGGCGGTTCCCATCCTCCCCGGTCGGCCGGGAGCGATGGGAATTGCAATCCCACCCAAGCGTCTGGTGGAGGCGGACCCTCCCCGGGGCGGCTTCTTGCAGAAGCGGCGGCCCCTCGAGCTCCGCCCGCGAGAGGCGGTTGCAGCGTCTCCGTCCCGCCCTGGGAAAGCAGCGGCGGGCGATGGCGGAGGCGGCTGCAACCGGGCGGACGCCCCGCTTCTTCCAGCGGCTGCCCAAAGTGGTGAGAGCCGGCAGGGCGCGGCTCCTTCTCGGCTGCATCCCTGGAGCTGGAGCTGCGCTGGGCGCTGTCTCAGCGGGTGGCGGGTCGGGGGTCTCCGGGAAAGGGGAAGGAGACCCTAGCCGAGGCTCCTTTGCCCAGGCTGGGCTGGGCAGCTAAGCCTCCAGCTGCTTGCAGTGTGTGGGGAACCCAGCGGCCATCGGGAGGGTCCTCCTGTGGTTGCGAACCTGTGCATGGTTAAGAGCCTCGCGGGTCCTAAGCCAGCCTTTTAACCTCTGTAACCAAGAAGAAACTGAAGTTAGCATGTTATTGTTATGTTGTGTTGTGTTATGTTATGTTACACCATACCATATATATCATATCATATATCATATCATATCATATCCCTATATATCATATATCATATCATATATATATCATAGATCATATATATATCATAGATCATATCATAGATCATATATCATATATCATATATATCATAGATCATATCATAGATCATATAATTGTATTTATTACATTATACCATACCATACCATATATATCATATACCTATCATATCATATATCATATATATAATGTATCATATAGAGATCATGTATATTATTGTATTTATTATATTAACAGTTGGAAGGGAACTGGTAGGTCATCTAGTCCAAACCCCCCCAAAGCAGGACCCTACACATTTAGCAACAGCTGTTTGCCAGCTGTTCTGCCACTGTTTTCAAGCTTGGCCACTGTAGGATGGGTGGGGGATTCTGGTTGTTTTAAGTCCATATTAAAGCATGATGGCCAGAGGGATTCTGGGAGCTGAAGTCCCTCTTAACAACAGCCACGGCTGAAAAGCCCTCTGCTAAAACAATTTTTCTCAACCTTGGCAACTTTTTAAGATGAAGGAACTGCAACTCTCGGAATTCAGAATGCTGGCTGGGGAATTCTGGGAGTTGAAGTCCATGCACCTTCAATCACGGCTGAGGAATTCTGGGAGATGAAGTCCACCCGCCTTAACAGTGGCCTCAGTTAAAAAAGCACTCTGCTAAAACAATTTTTCTCAACCTTGGCAATTTTTCGATGAACGGACTGCAACTCCCAGCTGGCTGGGAGATATTGGGAGTTGTAGTCCATACATCGAAAAGTCAACAAGTTTGCAAAATCCGGTGCTGGAAAACCCACTGGGATTTTTCACTAATTCTTTTACAGGTGGATGAAAACTTTTCTGGGCACCCAAGTAGAATTAAATGCTTTTTTTTTTTAGGGGAAAAGCTCAGACTCCGGAGGGGACAAATTCTCAGGATGCTTCCAGAGGAGACAAATCCTTTTTTGTTTTCCCTCTTTCCCTTTCAGGAGCTCCACGCTCACTTAAACGGCTCCATCAGCGCTGCCACCATGAAGAAGCTGATGGCGCAGAAACCCCACCTTCAAATCGCAGAGGAAATGGTTGTGATTGACAAGGGGACAAAAAGGACTCTGGAAGAGTGAGTCTGGCTTCAGGGGCACCTCGGAGACCATGGAGCTGGTCCTCGACTTCACAGCTGCTTTCGGGGCAGGAATTTCCATTCCTAAGCAAGATGGCCCTTAAACAAATCATGCGTTTTTATGCCTTTTTTCCATCACAGTTGTTAAGTGAATCCAGCTTCTCCCCTCCGTTGACTCTGTGTCAGAATTCCACCCCATTCCAATCTAGCCGCATCTCTCAGAGAAAATAAAATTGATTTATTAGGAGTTAACATGTCGGCTGTTTCCTGGTTGCAGCTGACACAAAAATACATCATTCATATCCCCCTTGACCCTGGTGTTCCTCCCATCCCCTGGATGTATATTCTCCAATGGGACACATCCATAGCTAAGAGTGATCAATCATACTCTCCAGTAATAATCTTGCGCGCCAACAGCTTCGGCTGCCAAGGCGATTATCTGAAGCATTTAGGGAATGCACTGCCACTCTCTTTCTGATGGCAACTAAAACGATCAAAGGAGTATTTCTTTTCTTTTTTTTAGTTGACACTCTGCTTGTCCAGAGCCGGCTGGGATGGTCACAAAACTGACCACACGACCCCAGGATATTGCGACCGTCATAAATACCGTCTTACAGCAGTTCATTTAGTGGCCGCTCAAAAGTTACAGCGGCACCCAAAAAACGTGACTTATGTGGCTGTTTTTCACACTTAACGACCACTTCAGCACCCCCCC